TACATAGGGATCCGCAAGAAAATTTGAGCCTTTCAGGGGATCCGCGCTTCCAAAAAGGTTGAAAACCACTGGTGTAGATAGTGAGTAATTGAACTGCAGTCACACGGTATTGTTGAAGTTAACGTTCGTTCGTTACAGTGTTGTTTTAGCGCGAGTATTGAGATTAAGTGTATCGGTAAAGTTATATTCGGAAAGAATAAACCAGTTTTATTAAGTAAAGACTTGTGTCGCTTAAGTTTCGTCGGAACGAAGTTACGGAAAATTAATTAACAAACGGAGACGTAACAATATTAATAAAATACGACCTATTACTCCAGAAAACATAACTGGTTTCATTTAAGCCAACGTTATTAGCACGTGTCTGGTTTGCTTCATCTCTTGTAGAGATTTAGAAAAGGTTAGTAGTGGCAAGAAACAGTATGGTGGAAATCAAGAGAAGGTTGGAAGTGGCAAGAAAGAGTATGATCAAGATTGTGAGAATATTAATAGTGGCAAGAAAGAGTTTAAGATGATGACTCTTAAGAATGACAAGAAAGAGTAAGGAGTATATCAAGATAATTACTATTAACATATGGCAAGAAAGAATATGGTCAGGATAAAGACTGTTAACAATAAAAAGATTGAGTATAGTAAGGATAATAACTGTTAAAATGTCAAGAAAGTGTATGATCAAGATGATGACTGTTAAGAACAGCAAGGAAGAGTATGGTCAAGATGATGGCCGTTATAAGAATGACAAGAAAGAGCATGATAACAATAATGACTGTTAAGAATGGCAAGGAAGACTATAGTCAAGACGATGACTGTTAACCATGGCAGGAGTGTGGTCAGGATGATGACTGTTAACAATGTCAAGAAAGGGTATGGTCAGGATAATTATTGACAATGTCAAGAAAGAATGTCACAGTTAATAATGACAAGGATGACTAAGGTCAAGATAATGACTGTTAAGAATGGCAAGGAAGTGTTTGGTCAGGTGGATGACTGAGTGAAACGTCAGCGTTTATCAATATCATTAGTTTTGTTTGCTTAGGTCAGTTATTTTCTCTACAGCTAGTTATAATTCCTAAAGTTAGACGTAATGGAAGGTTAATGAAACAGGATAATTTTTAATTGTGATGCTATAGGAGAGCACATAGAGAGAAAAACGAATAAATGGGTGTTGGAAAACAGGATGTAAAAGTAGATTGTTCGAAGATATCCTAAAGGAAACTTTGATATTTGGGCATATTGCAAGAAAAAACTGGATATGTCTGAGGAAAAACATCATGGAAGGAAGAATTTGAAAGAAACCAAAAAGGAAGACAAGCTACATGGTGGGATGGTGATATAAGAAGATAACTAGAAATATCGATGGTGGAAGCTGTAAGATCAGGGGATGGGACGGTTAGAGAGGACTCATTGCGACCACAATAATCCTGACATGGTCTCAATGAAAAACATATGTCAGGTGTGAAAACTGGGCTAATTTTACAAATGTATGTGGCAGTCCTAAGTGTAGAATTAGCGGAGTTCAAGGTTTAGTATACCTTATTTGTTTAAAACTTGTGATTAAGTACAGAAAGATGGACTAATGCTTTGGAAAATCATTCAATATTCGTATACTGTGTGCTGTTTTAGATGTTTGTAGTGGTTTTTTTTTTGTCATGAGAGAGTTTTTACGTCACGTAATAAGCGCGTTATTTAATAACTAGAACTTCATTCAAAATGATTTAAACAAAATAAAACGCGACTTCGACTTGAGTTTATTATTGATTTGTGAGCCAGTTACAGTAGTTGGATTGGCTATTGAGTTTGTGAATGTGTTAGCCTGTTAATGTTAATTCAGTGCTGTAAATGTTGAGTTTATATTTCAATGAAGTTCTAAAGATACGAGAAGTACCGTACTTACGAGAATGTTAACAAGTGAGACATTATCTAGCGTTATTTGTTAAATTAGGCTTATTTTTAGTTCGTGAAACCATCTATGTTGTAATTTTTTTTGATCGAAGATACAATTTTAAAACACCTTCGTTATCATTAAGTGGACGAACTTTGCATTATTTTTTCTTTCTTTCTTTTTAATCCAATAATCTAAAATAACTCGCTCAACAATAATATCGTCACAGCTACACTATTGTTACGTCTCCGTTTGTTAATTAACTT